AATTCATTTGAAGATTTTTGTTAATACCTTTTTTAATATATTAAATTGAATAAGTAAATGTTAAAATGAATGAATAATGAAATTGATGAAATAATTAATTTTAGATAATTTAAAATTTAGAATAAGTTTTAATATCTAACAATGTGCTTCACTTCCTCTTCATTTATATTATTTTTATAACGTTCTTCAACTATATTATTAGATTCTTTTGTAGATTAATATAGATATTATAATACTTTTTTTTTTGAATTATAATTTTTAATATCTAATATTTCCTGTTTATATAAAATATAATAAAAAATATATATTAGCTCAAATTCATTAAAACAAACTGTTATATTTTATATCCTGTCTGAAAGACAATCATTATTTTTTACTTTCTTCAGTATTTCCTAATGTAAGTCTTGATCAATTAAAAAATAATGATTGGGTATTATACGAAGGTTCTCAGAATTCATTATTTTTTTCGGAGACCTGCAAAAATACCATTTGTATGGCCAGGCATGGATTTCTTCAAAAAAAAATTTGGCCCGGCCCGGCTTTTATATTTTCAGGACCGGCCCTGATTGTTTTAAAATATATTGTGCCTATTTTTAATTTTATAGATAATAACGGCGATTTAAAATATGGTTTTAAAATATACGGCCAAGCCGGGCTTAGGATCGGGCCTTGAGGTATCTGAATTTTTTAATACGACTTTTATAAACCTGATGTTGTATTTAAGGATATTATTTTTATTTGGTCTTGTTGCTTTTCTTATCAATATTGGGTTCTTACTTCTTAATATAAAAGTTAACTTCGTAATAACTTAAGTTTTATCATGGTTATCAATGGGTTTGATTTTTAAAATTTTTTTAAACGATTTAAGCCATTAATAATGTTTTAAATTGGTATTTTATTTATTAATGCTGCAGATGCGGTTTATGATAAAAGAAATGATATATATATACAATATATAGGACTTAAGTGGTTGGTAATAGGCGCATGGCCAGCAATTTTGTAAGGAGTGGGAGGAGGGATAATTTTTTTTATACTGAAATTTTTTGAGCATTAAAAATTTCATCACATAAAATTTATTAGAACTAATCATTATAGAAAATTTAATAGAACCAAATATATTTGAAAACATGATAATTTCGAACACAAATAATAAAATATTGGTAAATACAAAATATTTTGAGCGTATAAAATACGGTTAAAAAATATTATATATAAACCGGTATATAAATCACAATAAAATATAAAATTAAAAATTTTATAATGAGTTAAAAAAACTAGTCAATATATGGTTCATAAATGTAAATTTAATCTTCTTTGTTATGCGTCAATTTTTTAATAATTTGTTTTGTGTTGGGAATTAGATCTCGATGAGTAGAGCTAGTCTATTTAATTAATTTTACGATTTCATACTTTTGATATAGGTTTTATTCTCTGTAATGAATAAAAGGTCCTCTCATTGCCACAATATTACGTAATTTTAATATATTTGGAAAATTTATAAAATATATTTTAAAGTATGCAATGCTTCCACTGACTTCTTAGAGGATTTTTATGAGAATAAATCTTTCACACCATGTGAATTATTATATTAATTGGCCTTCAGATACATTTATATCCTCGGAATAAAATTTAGCTAAATATTTAAGTTATGAGATATAGTATATTTGTAAATTGGATAGAGCCTTTTGATAATCACAAATCTCTCATTGATTTGAGTCAATAAAAACGGTTATTTTAACTCAATTGACTCCACGTTAATATTGGAAAGATTTGTTTATCGGTGAAAGTCGAGGCTTGTGAATCTCAAAATCATATAATTTCACTTTCACCTCAATAATCACATAAACCTAGAAAAATTCCTGATCGATATAATCTCTTGGTTTTCTAAATTGTAAAATAATAATATTTGCGATTTTCATAACTTCAGCTAATTCCATTTTTTTGAAAAATATTTGCGTAAATTTGTTGTCTAATATTATTAATACATTCCAATGAAAAATATTGGCTGTTTTATTAAATCTAATAATGTATCAGCTTCAGATGAAATATATGTTTAAGATAATTCTGATATTTCCAAGCATATAAAATAAGTTCTTCTAGATCCAAAAAAAAGCTGTGACAACTTGATGATCTTGTCGTGCAGTTTTTTTGCAATTTCTTTTTTCCTGTAGCACAAGATGTCTCTGAAAAAATTATATTCAGCAAATTCTGTCTATTGGGATATCTGAAAATTTTATAGACTGTAGGAATTTTCTAATCATAATTATTAGTAGAGATAAATTAATATAATTTTTTTGGTTGATAAAATTTTCTTATATCCATCAGTGTTTAAGGTTTAAAAAATGTAAGAAAATAAACTTTACATTTTCGTGAGATAAAAAATAAATATATAAAATAAATATTTTAATTAATTCTAACTTTTGCTAATATTCAGAATAGAATATAACCTATTTGAAATAGAATACTTTGCAATTTCGCAATTTATGAAGCCTTTTTATATTTTTCAAAATTTCATGCCAGGAGGTGAGGATGGGGATTCCTCTTACTCTCCCGACCCCCATCCTGACCTGGCAACACCCAAGTCCTTATATGTTTTATAAAAAAATTACGAAGGGGGTGGGGGTGGGGATTTTGATCTTCTTTAATGATCTTCAATGATCCTTTGCTCAAAATTTAAAAAATCTTTGAAGATTTATTTAAATTTTGTTTAGATATTTGATTTTACCTTATTCCCTATGCCATTATATCCCTGGCTCCCTCATGATTTAATATTAATATACCACTAAATATACCCCTACTATTATCTATCCTAATCTCTTTTATTACAATTTGTCTTCTTATCTATCTAAGATTATACCACAATACCCATTTTCATTCTACCCCTCACCCCTCTTATATAAAAGAATTGATTAACTTTGCAGCTAGAAAGACAAATGGAGTATGCCAAAACTTCAAAAAACTTTCAATTCTGACTAAAAATTGTATTTTTTAGAACTATAAAAGCAAATATAAGTGGAGGAGAAATCAGTAGGGACACGTTGGCTACATGGGAACATCAGCCTACTCCTTCATTTATAATCTATTCTTTTATTATATAAGAGTGGAAATTTAAGTCTAATATTGATAATTATTTCATGCATCATTAAACTAAAAAAGGAATTGAAAAATATTTAAGAAATTATTTTTTTTACCGAGGAAAATGCGTTTGAGCAAACAAGATATAAATGGCAAACTTTGTCGTTTTCATTTTGATTTATAAATAATAATGTAAAATCCGAATAATTAGATTTTAAGAAAGTATAAACCATATTTCCTTATTTTGACAATTTTTCATATAAAACTTAGATTAATATGATTTTAAATGGCATTTATAAAATTAGAGGTCATGTTGATGGTTAGTCCGAAGTACGTTGATACTATAGTTATTAATTATTATATATTTATACTTTATTTTGATTAAAACATATCCAAAAATTTTAAATGAATTATCAATCCAAAATATTAATTTTTATATAATATACTTAAATAATATTTTATTTTAATTTTTTTTAAAAAAAAATTCCTAGAATCTAAAAATCCCTAAATACTCAATAATTTACTCATTGTTGGGTATTATGATATTATCAGTAAATTAATATATTTTTAAGCTTCTAATTTTATAAGAATATCAAAAAAGGTTAATTTTATATTTCGACTTTCATATCGTTGGTGGACAAACTTTTCAAATATTGTTGGATCAACTTTTCAAATATTGTTGGATCAACTATCACTTATGTTAGATTTTATAATTATTAACTTTAAAATAGCATATACTTTAAGAATTTAGATCAAGCTTTATATATCCAGATTTATTTATTATTATTGAATTTATAGAGGTTAGAAAAAAACATCTTATCCGATCTCCCTACCTCATCTTGGGTTTGAGTTAGTTATATTTTTTATATCAAATTATTTTACTTTGTGGGTTTATATTTTTTGGTTTATAAAATTTTCTTATACACATCAGTGCTTGAGGTTTAACATGTAATAAAATATGCTTAAATTTTTGTGGGAAAAAACACTGATTCACAAGGAAATTATAAATACTATATTTGAATTAATTTTATTTTCTAAAACTTTAAATTGAATATAACCTTTTGAAATAGAGCTACTTTGTAATTCAGTGAAAACCTTATATATTTCTTCAAAAATATTTATAAATAATTTTAATTTTTTGGCTATGCCTCGCCCCTTATTTTTAATCTTTTGGCTATGCCTCGCCCCTCGTTGCCTACACTCCTGATTCAGCAATATTATTTATAGCGTTTATAGTAATGTTTTCATCTTAAGTATTGTTTTTTTAAATAATGCCATTTTAGTTTTAATAATTTTTTGATTTATTTAATCCCTTTTTGAGATTTGATTCCCTTCCGCTTTTCCCCGATGTCACACTACTAACATAAATGATGATAGAAACCTCGGATTACATTTATTCGATAGTTTATACATCAAAAAATCTATCATATGAAATTTTTTAAATCTCGTTAACTGACATTTCACAAAAACAAAAAATATATTAAATTTTTTAGAAATAAGTGCTAACTAATAAAACAGTTTTTGGGGAATATTTTATAAATGCACTTTGCCCCCTATATAATAAATAAACGACATAAAATATGGTTTAAAATACATTTTTGACGAAATTTGGGACATTTAGCTATTAAAAAATTATAGGTAATAACTTTCTTACCATGATTCCCGCCCGGTTTACCCTCACAAAATTGTTTTACAATACTATTATTACATTGAACATAAAAACTAATATAATAAAATAAAATAATACTTTCAATATTTCTCTTACATTTCTTTAAATATATAGAGTTAATGTTTTGCGACTTATTTATAATTATAAATCCATATCATATATTGTAGCTTTCTAATTTTTTTGTAACTATTACAATTCAAGGCTTTTAAATATCTATAAAAAATATTTCAATTATCTATAAAAAATATTTCAATAGAAGTATACGAAAACCAATTATGCGTATCAATTTAAACACACACACAGGTAGTTGAAAAAAGACTGTATACAACTAGTTTTAAAAAAAAAAAATCATCATTGCTAATAATTTTAATCTTGTTTGATGTAATCTACTGCATTGCCTGAAACCCATTATACTTAAAACGATTCTATAAATAGAAATTAAAATCAATCAATTCAAAATTCCAAAAAAGAAATATGATAAATATTCCTGGTGTGATCGGAGTAATTATATTCTATCTAGTGATATTATTCGTTGGCATTTGGGCCGGACGCAAGTTTAAAAGGAAAGGCATCAACCCCGATTCCGAAGAACTTATGTTAGCCGGAAGAAACATTGGAATAATTGTGGGAATTTTTACTATGACAGGTTTTTATTTGATGTTTTATTCATATTCAACTTTTATATAAAATATTTATGAAGTGTATTTTTTTAAAAAAAATATGAGCAAATCAAATCTTATTACATGAGCATTAAAAGTTAGATCAAATTTTCTTATTTAACCAATATTAAGACTCTCAAAATAAAACTTTCATATTAATTATCGCTATCATAATAAATATGAAACTGTTTGAGTTTCGAATTGTTGATATAAATGATTAAGATTATCAAGAGATCATATATTAAACGTTGCAATGCCGTCCTTACTAATGTTTGGAGCTGAAGGATCATATCCTTAGCCCCAAATTCCCAAGATGCTATAGCATTTTATAAGTTTATCATGTCTAATCTTCGATTTGAAAATAGATGGGTAATAAACATTATTTCAATTACATTAGTTTAACTTAATTCATTGCTTATTCTTGCTTATAAATGTTTTCTATCGCTTTATATCTCCTAAAATCTGTAATAAGGGAATTGTTTTTTTTCCTTCTAAAATTTATTACCTATTTAAACTAGTTTATTGTCTTATCCCCAATCTTTGGAAACCTATCTTACTAGTATCCCATCCTTTTAAGTCAGTCCCAATTTCCCCAAGATGCTATATCATTTTATAAGTTTATCATGTATAATCTCCGATTTAAAAATAGATCTGGTAATAAACATTATTTCAATTATACTTTGATTGCTTATTCTTGCTTATTTTTGCTTATTTGTTTTCTATCACTTTCTATCTCCTAAAATCTGTAATAAGGGGATTATTTACTTTCTTCTTAAATGCTTTCCATATAAATTAGTTTATTGTTTTATCTCCTACCTTTGGAAACCTATCTTATTAAAGTTTATATTTAATTACTATATTTATTTTAAGTTAAAATTTTTTTATAATAAATATAGATTTCGTTTAAGAGGTAGATTTTATTTTATCTCAAGTCTTTTCACTTAAAGAAAAAAGTATAGCCCCGATACCCTAGCACATATTCGTGTTAGCAAATTTCGAAGCAATAAATTTAAGAAAACCCGCAAATAATTTAAAGATAATCTTATTATTTATCATTAGCCACCTGGGTTGGAGGCGGTTACATAAATGGAACCGCAGAAATCGTGTACAGTTCGGGTCTAATCATGTGTCAGGCTCCCTTTGGATATGCGTTGAGCCTTGTAATAGGTATTTAATTGATTTGAAATTTCTGTTAATTCTATAATTCCATAATAATATATTATGTCTTTGAATATAAAATTACAAAATAAACATTTAAAGTAGATCTGTATAGCGGAGCGTGAGATGTTATGAAAGTCAACCTGCAGATGCATTATGATAGTGTTGATTGCGACTGGTGTTATCCACTATAATATCCATCGCAATCGGTATTATAAAATACGCTAATCATAATGTACGACCTATTCTCTTAAGGCATTGTCAAAAATTATTTAAATCATTAATCAATACAAAACCCATTTTTAAGATATCCCCATAAAATACTGACAATGTATATAACCTTTAAAGTTTTTATTTTAACTTTTAGAATATAGCAAAACTTTTTTTTAACACAAAATTATATGTTGAATTGATTATATAAGAATTATATTATTAAAAATTTCTTAGGCGAAATATATATAAATTTATTTCGAAGGAAGTATTTTATATGCATTTTTTATTTTATTATTTCTTAAAATGAAATAGATTCCTATATTTAACAACACTAGAGTATTTAATATTTAAACGGAGCCTCCATGCACTAAAGTGCTTGGAGACCGTAAATTTCTTTGATTATTTTTTTGCAGGAACCATCTATATTGATTCTACACTACCATGTAATGAATATACAAATGTATTTATATATAATGGTAAGCTAATTAGTAAAATTATAAGTTAATAGGAGAGCCTCAGTTCGGAAATTTTGGCGACAGGGTAAATTTTAATAATAAAAGAATTTTTTGTGAAATGGTGAAGCTATTGTTCCACACATTCCCAAATTTTTGAACCAGGAGCTGACAATGCCGATATAAAGAGAAATTATTAAATAATAATTCTTGTGCACGATTGACGAGAATAAACCTAGCTAAGATTAATAGATTTATTATTATTAATTTGATTAACTGAAAATATAATATCGCATTAACTAATAATATGATGAAAAGAGAAAAAAGGGAGGGGGTAGTATAATTGATTCAAAGATGCGGGGTGGGTGTAAAAAGATTAGTTTTTATATGATGATTTTATTAAGACATTGAAGCAGTGTTGAAGCAGTGTCACTAGCCTTTATAATCTCAGGGGGGTTCAAACATGATCTTTTTTAAAATTTCTGATTTTTTTTTCAATATTTTTGAAAATGACCTTTTTTAGCTAAATTTTTTAAATGACCTTTTTTTAGGTATTTTTAAAAAAAATCAGAGAACGCGAGCTCCTAAATGCCCCCCCCCCTTAGTGACTCTACTAAGTTAGCTGGGTCGAATCGTGTGCAGAGTCGAGAGTTTATAGAATGCATCCAAATTCTTGTACCAATATGCCGGTAATATCTTATATGAGTATGGTACATAGAGGCCTGCAATGGGCGTGATTTAGCCCACAAGCCCGTTCTGCTTTCTTTTTTTAAAATATAGTCTAAAATGGGATGGCGGTAGTAGATAATATAGTAGCATGCACTAATTCATACCAAACACTACACTAAAATAGTACATTCATCGTAAAGGTTCAAACGGTTTTTAATTTTATCTAAAAAAGAATTCTTTCATATTCCCAACTTCTAGCTAGTTTGTAGTAGAGTATTGATAATTTAATATATTACTTGTAAAATATATATGGATTAGAATTATAATTATAAACTCATAATAAATAAGTAGAAATATTTCCAGCGAAGGCGTTTTTAGGGGGTAGCTATGGATTTTAGAGCGGGAGGGTTGCCTCCAATGAATTTTCTATCATGTAGACGATGAGTGGCTAACATAGGGGGTATCATGGTTATAGTCTTTAGTCTGAATGAATATTTGAAAAAAAATTTTAAGACTTGAAAAAAATCAGAAATGACACTTGGATTTCCATCTTTTTTTACAGTATCAGAGATTTTTAAGACCATCAAGAAGTTGATTTACGATAAATATGTATCGGTAGCTTAGGTCGGATAAATTTTTTTTGGATATAATTTTGGCAAAACCTTTAAGACAATTCCTAATGAAAGGGAACTGGGCTGAGTGTGGCTTAAGTATGTATGAGGATAACGTGTGGCATTGACATTTATAATTGCACTGGCGCTGACATCAGGACTTATAAGTCTTGATAGTTTGTAGAAGTTTCCAATATTCACACTATTGGCCGTCGTCACATACGGTGAATAATATTAGCATCATACAGAAATATTTGGCGTGATAATATTTTGTACAGTTATTCGGTCTTCCAGATCCATTTTGGCTGTTGGATAACTCTTCATTGTATGAGATACAGTCCTGCTCGTCTTCTCATCTTAGAATCTATTTTCAGAGTTTGACGAAGTTTTGTTGGGGATATCTTGCTCCTAGGTCCTTTTCGTAAAAACTCTTTTTGGCCCCTCAGATCACGCAACCATCCTGAGCTCTCCATACTTATGAACTGATGCCCCCCCAGGGCTAAGATACTGTTGATGTCGCCCACGGATGGAGAGAAGTTATTGATAATAACTTGTTTTTAAGTAAGTGGGTTTATACTTCTGCGTCTTTGAGTTGCTTTTCTAGGTCTGGGATGGAAAAATTTAGGTTGATATTTAACTTGATAGCAGGATTGATGGGTTAGGTGGAATTTTGAGGTGGGACAAGGTTTGCCATTAGGGACTATATGACGGGTTTGTAGTTGGGTATCCTGTACCTTCTTTCGTAACTAGAGATAGAGGCTTCTGTGAATAGTTGGGAGGGGGGAGGGCTAAGATATTTATATCTATAGGATTACTTTTAGACTTTAGTCGAATCTAAATAACGGGTATAACGTGCATCTGGGCTCACTTTGAGCACTGATAATTCATAGATTACTAGGTTGTTGGGGGGACTTAAAATGTCTCTCGGCGTAGGTTATAGCATTCACAAAATACTTAGCAATTATAATTTGCCTCACTTTATAAGTCTCCCATTATATTTATATTTTTACATTCTTCTTCGGACAAATTATTTTGTACCATTTATAGTTGAATCACTGCACGTAGGGGTGATTTAGTGAATGAATGGCGTCGTAAGTTTGTTGGTGGTACTAATGATTGTAATGTTATAGATGTCTGCGCTGGGAATTATAACGGAGGTTTTGTGATTGACTTTTGATAAATTGGAATTATTCTCATTAAAAATGGATAATTTATTTTTATTGATATTTTTCCAGAATTTTCAAACAAGGACATACATTGATGGATACAAAAATAATTAGTTTGTTTCAACAATGTTCAGGGCCATCTTCTGCTAGAGGTAGCATCACTCGTTGTGATTCTCGTTCCTAATTGTGATCCGTTGTATAACTTTTTATAAAAGGTTAGGGCGTGAAAGGCAAACGACGTTAATGTCGTCCCAATTATGGGTAGGAATGAAGTTAATTAGTAAAAATGGCGAAAGTTTTGGTTAGTTTATTCAATTGGCTTTCAACATAGCGTCACGATTTATATAGATAGCTCGAGAGGATCAATACAATAAATTTCTTTTTTTAAGGGATCATGGCAGATACATCTGGGAGTTTGTTTTCAGGACTGAAAAATCCAATGGACTATTTTAAGGCCTTGGCTCATGTGGTTACACTTTGACTGTCTGGAATCTACCTCTGCATCGCATGCGTTGCATAGAGAGGAGGTCTCTGCACCGGTGTTTAAGAGAATACATAAGGTATTACCATTTACAGCTAAGCCTGAAAACGTTGGCGTGCGTGACGTGACTCATCGTTACTTAGCAGTTTTCTATGAGAAGGCTTTGAGAAGTTTGCAACCGTTCTACTAGGGGATAAAAAAGAGATGAGAATAATCCTCGGCTCCTCGCTTTAAGGCCAGCAATAAAGTTTTCAACTAAAATTTAAATCAGGATGTCTGAGGTTAATTTCCAGGTATATACGGATCATATGAAGAGAGGCCTTTATAACTTTTAATAAATATTACGATATTATTTTGTAAATATGTACAAATAATTATCTTCTAATTACAAAAAAATGTTTTTTTATTATTTATTTTTACTATTTATATACGATTACTTATAATTTTATATTAAATTAATAAGGAGGTAAATTTTTCGCCAAGAAAATGAGACAAGAAGGATACGTGACTATGTTAGATCCCTTCCAAAAAAAATTCGGTAAAAGAATGGGTGGCTTGTTGTTTTTGCCAGCGTTGTTAGGTGAAGTGTTTTGGTCGGCGGCTATTCTATCTGCATTAGGTAATTTACAAGATATTATTGTACTTATCAAATTTGATTATCAAATTCAATAAAATTATATATTATCGAAAGAGTTTTTTTAATAACAATTTAACTTTTCTGATATAGCGGAGAAATAAGCTTTTTATCAGCAAGATTAAATTTTTATAAAAAATCATATAAAAATAAGGCATTTCCTTGATTATAAAATGATATATTATTTTAATAGGTGCAACGATAAGTGTGATAATTGATATAAACAATACCACAGCCATAATTGTTTCTTCGGCTATTGCGGTTTTTTACACACTTTTCGGAGGGCTGTATGCCGTTGCTTATACAGATGTAGTGCAATTGATATGCATATTTGTTGGCTTGGTAAATTTATATTTCTTACTCTTTTTAATTTAGTGCATATAAATAAGATCTAAACTATCCATTTTATCGGAAAATAGCAATTTATTTAACCAATTTTTAATGTAATTAACTTTACTTGTATCTTCCTAACTTTGTTAACAGTAGCTGCGGAGTAAAGCTAAAAAATTAGATTATGTTCTCCAAATTTAATAAATTTCATATTGTAAAAAATACAAGAATTATTTTATAGTATATATAAATTTAAAAAAATATGTAAATTTGAATTAGAAGGTTAAAATTTTAAGTGAATATATCTTTATGTTGTTTTAAAGAAGATAAACTAAATTAAATTAGAGTACAATGTTAATTAATACGATTTTATAATAACCAAAAGTGAAAATGCTTTTGATAAAAATAAGAAAAGTTAATAATATTGTAAATAGATCTTGAATAACAAAGAGAAAATAAAAGTTATCTTGTTTAACAAGAAAATGATAAATTAAGTTTTAAGATGAAAAATAAAGGTTTAAATTAGAATAAAATAAATTTTAAAAAGCCGGTCATTGTTATAATTTGTTTATCCAACACCTTTCTGCTTTCTCTAATCGTTAGCAAAATGCTAGATTAAACAGATTTTGGAAAAGGCTATGCATTATCAATATCTTAGAGGTATATAGGTTTTGCGTATAGATAAGAGCTTTGAGGTAAGGTTTAATATTCCATTTCCAAATCCTAATTTATTAAAATAAGTCACGGTTTTCTCCTATGGAGGAGGTTTACAGGCGCCATTTTAATTCACTGTAAACATTATGCAAATAATTAAAATTGTTTGATCCTACGAGCATTTAAAATTGTTTGACTTTTTTTTGTATATGGAAAAATTTATTCAAATTTAAAAAAAAACATTAAAATTAAAAATAAATACAATTTTTATTCATTTAGCAACATTTCAGTAAACAATTCAATTTTAGCAAGGATTTAGGATATTTGATCCAAAAATACTAATTGCTTTAAAATAATAATAAGAAGAACAATTTTGATTATTATAAAATTTATTATCAGATCGTATGAAATGCCTCAAATTTAACATGTATATTGAAATTTAATTTAAAAAGTGGATCTGTGTACCATTCGCTCTACGCAATCCATTAGTAGATAATCCTATGAAATATAAAAAACATTGGATTGGACATCTTGAGCCTATACTTATTGGTCAATACGTTGATGCATATCTTTTATTGACTTTTGGAGGTATTCCATGGCAGGTTATATAGTATATTAAAATTAGTTATGCATGTATGTAAGAACTCTTTGTGTCCCTCGCATAGGCGTATCTGATTTTGCTAAGTAGGGGGAAATCATTATTAGATAAATTTTCCCCATTCATTTTATTAGAGATCTTATGGTCCACTTATTGTAAGCCTTTGGCTTTATTAGATTTTTATATAAATAATTTTGGGTTTTCACCTTTTTTGAAATTAAAATCCTATTTGGAAAAAAAATTTGAATCATAGTCATTATTTTTAAAATTTATTAACTTTTGCTAATTTTCCTTTTAAATTCTTCCTTATTATGATATATTGTAAATATTTTTTGGGAAGAGGGAGGGGTGGGGAGGGGGGGGGTATATGGAGGAATAATTTTTATTAGCTTAAAATGATATTTACTAGAACAAGCAAATTTACGTGTTATAAGAAAAATACACTTATTATAATTTTTTGTTAAATATTGTCAATTGTGTAAAACTAGTGTTGTTAAAGTAAATAGTAACAAGTAATTGCTAAAAAATAACTGTAACTAGTTATATTTTAAAAATTGTAACTAGAAACTGTAACTAGTTATATTTTTTGAGATGTAACTGCTAAAAGTAACTAGTTACTTTTAAAATATATATATGTATAAATCTAAATAATATATTCCAGTAAATAATTTTATTTTTAATATGTTTTTTTAAAAAATAATTTATTAAAATTATAATACTATATCTATATTCTATGTAAAAATATATAATTAAAAGAAGAGAAATTAAATAAAATAATGTATTTATTGGTGGGCGGAGCTTAATGACCCATGTATAGATATACATTTGGATCGACAAATTTTGATTGATATTCTTTGTCGTAGGTAGTAGCCTTTTTTGGATCACCTGTGATTAAACGTAACCTTTGCCCTATTGTTTTAAATAATTTTAGGGCTTTGGGTCCAAATGATCCACAGGTGTCTTAGACTACCAGAACAAACAAAAGATTATTAAGGTGGCTATATTTATTTGTTTTTGTATTAGTTGAAATAAAAAGATCTGGCAAAACGATCTACACATGGATAATCCCAAGCGAGGGGTATATTTTGGTTCCAAGGGACTAGCGTCATTCAATCAGGGCTGACAGAGGGTTCCAGTGTAGAAGGAATATTTGCGGATTTCAAGATTTTATTGATGATCGAATTGATGGCATAGTGCCTGGATAATTTGCCTTTTGAAAACGACAGTATGGGGGGGGGGGGTCTAAGTCTATCGATATGAGTTTCACAAGGGACAAATAATGTCGGCGTTACGATTTCACAAAACGAAGACCTATAGCTATTTTAAGTTCTTCGTTAGTTAATAAACAAGCGTAAATTAGAACTAGGTACAGTTTCTAACTATTCGTAGCCAAGGTGGCATATGACTGAGGCTGGAATTATTTGATCCAGCAAAAGTCGTATTGTTGTCATTCTGTATACTCGGGGTTGGGTTTAAGGGGAGAAAGAGCGATGGAGATTTTCTTTGAACAGCTTTGAAATGTAAGTATTCAACGCAATGCTGTATCAATGGTAAATTTCAGTCTCTTTGTCTTAAATTTGGATATGAGCGGCTTGGAGAATCTTTGCTCCAGAGGTTTAATGCTAGCATATGATGTGAATTCGATAGTATTCAAGTCTCCAAGTGTGTATAGAAATTTAGCAACTGAGGATAAAAAGGCTGAAATGCTTAAAAATATCGGGGAATGGATACCTATACCACCTAGCTTTGGTGGAAGGGTAGCTTGCATACTGAAGAGTGAAGAGAATTTGATATTTAAAATAGATTCGAGAGTATTTTTATAATGAACTACAAGGTCTTATAATATTTCAAGGGACATGAAAATTGTTGATGAACGAAAGGCATGTAAAATTTTAGGAATGAATAAAAAATATTTAAATAAATAAAAAGCCTGATGAGCAGGTAAATCTTTTAAAATATTTTTATTTCTATTGAATTTGACAAGAAATTCATCTCTGAAATGAAATATTGCACTTTCACCTCCAATGGGTGTACCTAGGTGGGTAAACTTAGTTTTGTTCACTACAATAAAATTTTCAGGTGGGCAGACCTATTTAAGGGTGTGATAAATTAATTTTAAAATAAACTAATTTTAAAATTTATTAATTTAAAATTTTGTAATGTCTGATTGTGTTCACAAAGGATATGCAACAAAAATATAATTTCCCGTCCAAATAGATTTTCTTTTCTTAAATTGTTACATTGCTGGGTTTCATAATTTAGTAACCAAATTCAATTAATAAACCTATTTTTATTATATCTCTTTATATTTAGCACAATATTTTCCATATTTTTTGCCCTCAAGTTGCTGGTAATATTTATGGAATTTCATATAAATGTTTTTTTTTAAATTTTACTAAATTAGATCATAGAACTTAGTATAAGGAACGACAAAAACTTGGATTATTTTAGAATTAATTAATTTTTGAATAAACGACTAAATTAGTAATTATTACTTACTAATTAAGAAAAGTTTTCAGGCCAGGCCTGGATTTTTTAAAAATATATTATATTTATTTTTGATTTTATAGCTAATAATGGCGATTTCAAATATTTTTTTTTAAAATATACGGCCTGGCCTAGATATATTTTTAAAAAAAATTAAAATACATCCCGGCCTGTGTACCCGGACCGTGCTTAGTGCCGGGCCTGCAGGTCTCAAATAATATTCTATTTTCCGATATTTTTTTTCGGTTTAATTATTTTTTTATATAAATAAATTGTATATATTTTTCCAAATAATTGATTATAATTATTATATCCTAATTTTTTTATTAAATAAATGCGTTCAGTAAATAAATAGTGCGTTTATGAATGATATATAAAGTAACTTATTATGTAACTAGTTACTTTTGAAATATAACTGTAACAAATGTAACTAGTAACTGCAACTAGTTATATTTTTACCAATGAAACTAGTAACTGTAACTAGTTATATTTCAAGGTTACTTTTAAAAACACTAGTAAAAACGATTATGATTTATATGTATGAAACGGGTCTTTATTGATTTATTATCAAACATAAAATAATATATACTATTTTTTTATCCACCATAAGGTTTATTTTCAGAGAGTCTTATCAGCCAAAACAGCCTATAAAGCTCAGCTTTTATCCTACGTTGCCGCTTTAGGGTGTTTTATTATGGCTGTACCATCGGTTATCATTGGTATCGTAGGATATTCCACGAGTAAACTCATTTTTTAGCTAAAAAATTTTAATTTTTAGGAAAACCTTATAAAACAAGATAATTTATATAAAAATAGGAAGGAGTGTTTATTTAAAGATTTTATCATATGACCTCTTTATTCTGACGTTTGATGTGGTGTGTATTATCCTAGTTTACTACTAGAGCTCCATATTCATAAGTTTTGAAAGAATGAAGGGGGGGGGGAGGCATATTATTATTTTTATATCAAATGATCTCTTTATTCTAGCTTTAAAGGGGGCGGGGTTTTTGCCTAGTTTACAACCATAGCCCTATATTTATGGAGAGAGGGGTTATATCTTAAATTTTTAATTTAAATTAGGTAATATTATGCATATATTATTCTAATTTAAAAACCGGGAGCATTCAGGAAATGTAGGGAATATTCCCAAGAACGTTGTAGAACAAACTTTAGTGTAATATTTAAACATTTATAATATCATTAGTAAAAGCTACAAGATATAATTAAATTAGTGATCTGCATCGGGCCTAATTTTTCAAACCCGGCCCTAAATTTTTTTAAAAATAGGCCCAGCCTGGATTTATTTAAATATATTAATTCTTTTAAGATATTTTACTCAAAATAAAAGATATATGTCATATGGTGTCTTGTTTCTATAAATAAAATTAAATATTTTTATTTGACATAAAAAATTCAACATAAAATTGATAAATTTAGATATATTTTAAAAAAAATCTAAAGCCAGACCCGGCCGAAATTTTTAAAAAATAGGCCCGACCCAGCTCGTTACTTTTGCAGATCTCTAATAGAATTATTATATTATATTTTCCATATAATGGTATTTAGATTTTTATTTGACTTTCTTAAAGCAAAATTGTAATGGAATATTTACCTAAAACCTGCACTATTATATCACGAATTTTAATATAAAGGTTGGTAATTTTCATTTGCTTATTTCAAATACATCAAATATTATATTTTTCTCTGGTTATGGTAATTTCTTTTTTCTTTTTAACCCTCTTTAATTTATTGGACATACGACCGTTTAATTTTATAGGAATTCATAACCAAATTTGGAGAAATAATATTATAAATATTTTGAGATATGATATTCATAAGAAAACCGTTGCATTATTGGCACATTCTTTTTGAATGGTTTAAGTAAGAGCTGAATATAATTATAGTAAATTAAGAATAAAATGTGTTACATAAATAAATGACTAATATATATAATTTTTGTACATATTTAAGTAAAATTTGCTTATTGCATAATATTAATTTAATAAAACTAATTTAAACATAAACTTAGCTGGAGAGACTTGACCTCCAAAGACCTCCAGGTAATTAGGACCCTGAATTACTATCTACTTTCTATTGATTGGTATCATGTATTCCTCCCAAATTAGACATTTTTATTCGATATGTAAATATATCAAAGTATTTATTGCAGAGGGAGAAAATAATACTAATATTTACATAATCTGAAAAAAATTCTGATTAAATTATGTAATTTATTAGGATGGAACGAAACAACATATGATGGTCCTATACCGATACCCCCGGAAAATGAAAAATTAATTTTGCCATTAGTTCTTCAATATTTAACACCACCTGTAGTGACTTTTATAGGTTTAGGCGCTGTTTCTGCAGCTGTCATGTCCTCATCTGACTCTTCCATTCTAAGCGCTGCGTCTATGTTTGCTAGAAACATTTACAAATTACTCATACACCAAAAAGTATATATTTGATATAAATTTACATAATAGACATAAATATAACGACAGTTATTTGTAAGTTCAAATCCGATTAAAATTCTATCGATATTAATGCTTAATGAATTCGGCATAGGGAACTAAATCACAAATCACTAACTCTCACCTTAAAAACATTTTTGAAACATTCTTTTTAAACTTGATTTTTATTATGCTTTAAATAAAATTACATTTTATCATTTCTTTATTTGTCCCCTATATTTCATTTCAATTATCCTAAATCTCACTACAGTAGTTTAATTCAATATCTCTTTTAATTCTTCTCGTGTATCTAGCAAAAGAATCACATATCCCTTTATAAGCGTCATTATAAAAAAAATAGTATACAATTACAGATGTTAATTTTCTCTTTTCATTTGTCACAATAATGTTGTAATTATTTTATTATTATTTGGTATAAGTTTCAAAATTAGTTATTCCAAAAGCTCGGCTAACCAGGTATTTAGTTTTTCTATATTTTTTAGCATGATGCCAATTTTTTCTAATAATTTTTTTCTTTATATTATTTACCAAGCGGATAAAAATAATATACAATAAAGTACTAAATAATGATAAAATTTTCAAAATAATTGCCACTATACCGGCTAAATCAATCATAGGCACTAATAAAGCACCCATTGTCATAAGCTGAAATAATATAAAGATAATATATAAATTAAGATGCACAATAAAAAAATGATTAAGGGGACATAAAAAAATATCTAATCATAATTTTTCAAAGGCCGAGCCCTGACATCCCCTCTCCTAGATAAATCCTGCCCACGCCACTGTTATAATAATAATATTTTTAATCTTTAGTGTTAATAGTTTTTATTTAAAACTTTGTTCATACTATAATTTAACGTGAAGCTAATATAGGGGAGACCAGGGCTATTTCCTACATTTGTGATGTAAGTGCCAAAATTATAAAAATAAGACTTTTCGCAAAATCATTAAGCTATAATTTCATTATGCTAAATAACTTTTGTCTAAGTATTATTTTTCTTCGAAGGATAATGGCAGACTCGTTTTGCAATTCCGGACAAATCTGGGGGTATTTGCAGATATTTTTTGGCATGATTTTAATAAATTTTAAAATCGACAAATTATATAAGTCTTTATTAATGAACTTGATATTATATAAAAATAAAGTTAACAAGCTCATAAAAAAAGGATCATCGTTAGCACAGATTCATGTTCCCATCCTTTACTAACCTACATTCTAACTATTCCTGGTTATCATGATTATTATAATTTTTACAACATACAAGATATAAACAATCATTTGAATTCATATAAAAAATTTAATAATTTTTTTATTTTTTATGTATTTTTAAAATAAATGCATGAATAAAATATTTAGTGTCAGCCATTGTCCCCGGGCACATTACCCAAGAGAAATAATCTTCGTTAATACTATCATTATCATATAACTCACAATTCAAAATCTATGAAATCTTATTTTATATTTAGTAAGGATTCAATGGTCACTGTATGAATTTTAATGTGTAAAACATAAATAATTTTATTTTAAACATCTAGCAAACCTCTTTTTAGTTTTAGTTATAAAAAGAGGTATTTTGCTTTAAAGTTTTCCAAAGTGTCAAAGATGATTTTTTTATTCAAATTAGTCATAATATATTATCTATTTTGGTTATAAAATTCAAGTCTTAAATTCAAATAGTTTTATAAGGATTTTCGAAATTACCCCATATCCAAAATAGCCCCTGTCTCCCTTATAGTTTTTATTCATATTAAAATTTTAAAAGTGCTTTGGTTAGCATATCGATAGAAAAAAAATTACGACCAAAGGCTTTAATCTAAGATTTTAAGGTATAAAAATACCGGTATTACATTCACATTTGATCCATGTTATAAATAAATATGTTACAAATTCTTGAATAATTTTGAAAAATCATCGCATAAAGGCTACAGATCGAGAAGTGATTTGGGTTATGCGGATAGCTATAATTGGTGTAGGGGTACTTGCTACAGTTCTCGCGATATCGATAACAACAATATATGGTTTATGGTACCTTTGTGCTGACTTAGTGTATGTCATATTGTTTCCACAACTTGTATGTACAGTTTACTATCCTGTTAGTAACTTATATGGATCTCTTTCGGGTAATTATCCATAACATAAATTAAATTTGAGAATTAAATAAGTCATTTTATTATTTTTTTTATTTACTACTAATGGTTGAGTGAGATAACATGAAATTTATTGGTGATATTTGCAAAACTAGCATTTAATTTTTAACTTTTGTATTAGGGCTTGAAATACCAATATAAAATCCTCAAATATTTTTTACATATTAGTATTAAAATATAATGTAAATAATATAAGTATGTATTTATTTTGTTTACTTATTTAATAAAATTATTTTACTTTAATTTTAAAAGCGTACTTTATTGGCCTTTTATTCAGATGCCTTGGAGGAGAACCTTTGCTCCATTTACCCATTGCATTAAAATACCCATATTATTCGGATAAATATGGACAATTATTCCCGTTTAAAACATTTTCCATGTTACTCAGTCTGATTACGCTACTTGGAGTATCGTTCATCACCGAGTACATATTTGTCAACAACTACTTACCCCCCAAATTTGACTTTTTAGAAGTTAGCTCTATATAATTATAAACAAAGCTTAGATAAGATGTTATACGGAATTTTTAATAATTTTTTTTTTCGACTGGAATCTTCGAAAAATTTATTTTGAGGAAAAACGAAAATCTTTAACTGAAAAAATTTTTTTTAATAAATTTTACCTAAAAATCTTAAAATAAATCTTACCTGAAAATTTTTTAATTAAATTTTCTATGGAAATTTTAAAATTCATTATTTTATCAAAATCCTTAAGATTTGGAGACTCTTCACTCTACATAATGAAATATTTATTTTTATCATGATGAAACATTAATTTTTGATTTATATGTATTATAATAAAGAAGCAACATAATAAATGGAATTGTGGTGAGCTTTGGTGAGATTAGACAAGTCACATCAATTTTTTTATAATTTTACGGTGAGATTAGACAAGTCACATCAATTTTTTTATAATTTTACGTAAACGAATATAATAATATTCGACTTCTGGCTGCCATTATTCATCATACCTTTGAAAATAATATAAGGGATTAAAGTATTGCTAACATTAGACAATGATCTCTGCAGATTGTATACACATTATCATGCATACTAAAAATAATTCATCCCCACCCCCACCAATTTTCCCACAACAAATATACAATATATTACTATAAACAGGAATTTAAAAGTAACGACTATAATTAAAAAATTTTACAAAGGCATTTTTTAAAGGAAAGTGAAAACCTAAAATATTATTTTTTATACAAATATAACATGGCTAAAAGCCTTTAATAAATGGACCTAAAGAATTTTAATAAAATTTGTGAGATAAAACCTAATAGTGCCAGCTAATTTCTTCCTCCACCTATAGCTTATGTAGGCAAGAAACCGATTGCAAGACAAAAATTAAATTCTAATTATCCATAGATCATGAAATCATAGATTTTTTTAAAAACTGAAAATTTGCACTTTAATCAGGCCTTAGACAAGTAAAGAAAAGCAAGTAAGAATGCTGATTGTATAAAATCCAAAGATTTGGGTGCGTATACGACCTAAACTTTATCATTTTGAGAAAAAGAAAATAATGAGAAGTAAAATATATAAGAAAGGTGGAACAATCTAAAAGGAGAAAATGTGATTCAATCCAGAGTAAATTAATTGTAAATAAAGTAAATAAAGTAAGATTGTTTATTATGAAAAACTGATATATACAAAGATTGGAAAGGAAAAGGGAATCATTATGCAAAGTAAATGGGAATTTTTTATAAATCAGCGATAGAAAATAAATAGCTAAAGAATACTAAAGGTGATTTTAATATGGTATAATCTCTATTTTTTATAAATATAAATATTTACTCAATTTATATAAGTGCATCGTTAATATTCCGGAAGATGTTATTCAAGTCAAAGAACCTCAAGAAGGTGAGATGATAGCTTTAAACTCTCCCTATAGGAAATACCTTAAAAATGATGACGAAGAAAAAGGTGAAGATAACCCAGTCTTCGACGATAAAGATGATGTGAAATACAATGTATAATTTTGACTAATTATTGAAATCATTATTTGTATTTATTTTTTAATATTTTTTTAAACTAATTTATTTTTCTTCTTTTTACTCTTACTTTTCTTCATTTGTGAGAAGAGTTAATGGAATTTTATGGAATTAATCAATTTAGAATGCATAGATTAATCACTCTTCTTAGGTCTGGAATCTAGAAAACAATCAATATGAATTTTTTTATATTCATTTTTATATTTGGAATATATCTAAGAATGATTTACTGTAATTTGAATGATTTATCAACTGAATTACGATTGTTTTATACTAGTTGCATTTTCGTACAATATCATTATATATTTTTTTTTTTATAAAAGGATGTTAAACTATCAAATCAAACCTCTATATTTATGCGTAGAACTTCATCGAATTCCATGGCTAACGGTATTAAAAAGGAATCTATTTAATAACATCCACCCCCCCCCCATCCCACCCTACTCGATTAAATCTTTTTAGGAAAAATATTTCAGAATAAATGTAACATATTTGTTTAGCTTTAATTTCTAATGCACAATCTTTATAAATATTTTAAAAAGAAAAACAATTAAATTATTTGTCTAAAAATATTATATCTAATATATCGATTCCTCTACTCTAAATGAATCACAGATTCATCTCCTTGCTTTTTTGCTTATTGTTTTTAGTCACCTATATATTTACATATTTATATTGTGTCAATGTTAAACAACCCCCAAATCAGTTTAAGTCAAATTATTTGTGATTTTTATATTGTAATAAAAAAAAATATAAAAAACTTAATAAGTTAATATAATACCAAGAAATATTTTATAATCAGATTGTAATAATTCAAGGAACTCATATATTGTAAACATTTCCGATAAATTTAATCCATCGTGGTGAAAAAATTTGTAAATTTATAGTAGTCAAACATGTGTATAAATATTTTTATACAAATATATATATCCATAAATAAATGAAATTTAAAAATTCTTTATATATGTTTGAGCCACCACTTAAAGGCATGCCATATATGGCGTAATTTTATTTTATAAAAATAATCATTAGTAAATTATTTTAAATGTTGGAGATAGTATATTCGATTTTATTAATCAGTTTATAGGGAATTTGTGAGATGATCTGGTTTCTTAATTATAGTTTAAAATTAGATTTTACACTCTGGAGAAATAGATTCTACAAAAATCTTTGTCGATAAATTTTTATATATCAAATTGATAGAAAATGATGCAAATCAAACTTTATGCCCTGTTTAATTCGTTTGTCTTATTTTCTTAAACATATATGGATGCAATTGATGTTAATTAGTATCATTTTTAAACTCGTGCAAGAAAATATATTAATTTGATATAAATAAAAGAAATCCACCCAATTTTTTAAATATAAATTTTTACAATTTTCAAATTCTTTTGAGAAACTTTATTGAAATAATTAAGGCTTTTATGCAGCATCCCTGCTTTTAACCGCTCTACATAATCATCTTAAAGATAGATTTAATTTGGATCTCATTATTATATCTAGGCGATGACACCCTTTGTGCTTTTCCCCCATTATGCCCATACCTACTAAAGTAAAATCCCCTCAAGAATCATACCCCGCCATTCCCCTTCCAAGAAAACAATATTCTTTTGGTTTTTAAACATTTTACCCATTTAATATCCTCATTCTCCATCAAACGATAATCAAATTCTATAAAACGGTTAAAACTGTTTTTTTACATATTTGTAAATTAAAATAAATTAAAGGTTGAAGAATTGACCAGGTATTTAAAAAAATATATTTAAAATTGAATAGACTTTATGACATTATATAGGCTGAATATAAATTGAAAACAGTAAAATTTAGATTAACTAATAAAAATAACCAAAATTCTTTTTTAAAGATACTCCCATAAAGATGCAACTACAACAAAAATTAGGTGAAAATCAAAACTAAATACCATACTAGGGTTTCACCAGAGTTGTTAAAGTAGCGCGCTACTTAGCGCGCTATCTTTTTTGGTAGCTATAACTAATAGCCGCTACTTTTTTTTTAATTATTTAATTTTTAGCGTGCTACTTTTAAAAAATATAATGAATGTAAGTATAAACATGAAAATTTAAATATAATATCATAATTAATTATAATTTAATTTATTATTTAATTTTGAAATTTAAATATATTTTCAATTTTTAATTTATATTTTCAATCTGTGTTAATAATCTAAAATGGCATCGCCCATGGATATCCAAATCCTTGAAAGTGATTCAGACATGGAAGATTCAATGGAAGAAAATGTACTTAATAGCTCTAATAACGATTTCCCATTCCCTAGATTTGAAAAATTTTTTAAAATAAATATTAAAACAAAATCTGGATTCAAATTCATGTGCTTAAAATGTAAAAAAAATATATCATCAAATCAATCGAGTAGCTATAACCTGAAGAAACACCTAAAGGTAAATTGTTATTTTTACATTATAATATTATTTATTTTATTAGACTGTTCACGCCAATTGCTATAAGGAAATAGAGAAACATATAAAAAAATTTGGTATAGGAGAATCTTCATTCAAAAAGACAAATACTATCCAAACCAAATTAACTGATAATAAACATGCCAATATTTCACAAAAATTGGCTGATAAAGTAATTGTTGATTTTATTATTGACACAGTTCAGCCATTGTCCTTGGTTGATAATCCATCATTTACTATTATGATTAAAACTTTATCCCTGGCACAACAGTTTTATGTCGCCAGACACTTATGAATAAAATAGCCGACAACTTCAAAGTGATGAAAGATGCTCTAATAGTAGAGTTATCAGATATATCTTATGTATGTACCACGGCAGATAGTTGGACACATAACAGAAGGTAAAAACTAATTTATATTTATAAATTGATCTGATTAAATATTTTTAGAGCTTATTTGGGAATCACAGCCCATTAATTAGACCCTAGGACTTTAAAAAGAAGATCTGTAACCTTAGCCCTTAAAAGGATTATAGGATGCCAGACATGTGACGTACTTGCAAATAAAATTATTGACATCCACAAGTCTTTTAGGATTCATAATAAAGTTTGCAAGATGGTTACTGATAATGGGTCTAACTACCTGAAGGCATTTAGTTAATATCACAAATTTATTTCTAATATTTATTTTAAGTTATGATTTTTTGGGCAGTAAATTAATCAGAATGGAATGATTATTATTTAATCTATAAAATATTTATTATTTTAATATTTCACATTATTTATAGAATTTTTATTAACTAAATTCACACATATTTTAGTAATATTATAATTATCATAATTTATATCAAATTATAAATAAAATTAGTGAAATTAACTAATAAAATATAAAACAGAGGTGGATTATTTCATCAATTTTTATTGTACAGTGTCATTGAGCTAATCTAACATTTAATAAGATATGGTTATTGAATATTTAATGGATGATTAGATTTTTACTATATTTATTTCTTATTGATTAATTGCCATCAATTTATATACAGTACAGGGAATTCATTCAATGTATTCATTTGATAAAATATTTTTGCTTAGTTACATTATAATTCCTGAGGTTCAAAATTTAGAATACTATGAAATGATTTTTCCACTCCATTTTTGATAAATATTACTAGACATTTCTATTAAAACTGGATGAATAATTTAATTTGTCCTATTTAATATGAATATAGAATATTTGGTGAGGATAATGCTGAAGATGAGATACAGAATGATAGTCAACATGTATTGGAAGAGGAGGAAATAGGTGTTGATGCCAATGATATTAATGAGATCTTAGAAGAAGGTTTAAATTATTTTATATTACATGTTAATCTAATCAATATTCTATAGGATCTTCAACTAACTCCACAATGTTAACCAGCCATCGAGATGCTCCTGTCATAATTTAAATTTGATAGCAACAGTAGATGCTGAAGGAGCTTTAAATGATGAAGATTTTAAAAGGGTGTCAAGATCGACATTTTATAAATGTCAAACTTTATGGAATAAGCAGAACAAATCTCCTAAAAGTTCTGACATGTTTAAAAAAAAATTAGGGAGGTATTTATTAACCCCTAATCGTACAAGATGGAATTCTGTATACCAAGCAATAAAACTAATCGCCTTTTTCTGGAGGAAAGAAGATTAGAGATTAATTATCTCTGTGATCTTGTTGAAATTGAATATATTAACGATTAAGAGCATACTTTTATAAAAGAGTATACAGAAGTAATTCTAATTAATAATGATTCATTTCCATATCATTTTAATTTTTTAGGTTATGCAATATGTTGCTGTTTCCCTTGAAATTTTGGAAGGTGAGGATAATATGGAGATGGGGTATTATGTTCCCACTTTAATTATCCTAAATACCAAATTAAAGAGATTGAATAATCTAATCTTATGCCAGCCCCTAGTAGACTCTCTGTTAAAAGGCATTGAGAGAAGGTAAATAAAATTTATATTGTTTTGATTTTGATTGAAGATTTATTCTAACTTAATGTTTAAAGCTAAAAAATTTATAAAATTTTATGATTAAGATATATTTAAAATACTCTATTTTTGTAACTTTTAGATTCCCAAACTTATACAATGATGACAATGTCTTAGCGGCGATGGTTCATCCAAAGTTTAAACTAAACTGGCCATATATAAATTCCGATGATGCCAAACATCAACGCGATAGGCTAATGGCGAAGCTGAATAATCTTACTCCAACAAATATAGATTGCCGAGTATCTACCACCAAATAATTTTTTTGAAATTAAAGATGATTTAATAGAAAATCCAATTGATCTTTTTTTTCAATCAAAAAATATTGAAATGAATATTTTTGATAATTTTTCATATATTAAAAAATATATATAATTAAATACCCCCTTGCCCTCAAGTGCTAGTGTCGAGAGATTATTTAGTAAAGCAAAGCTTATACTTTCTGATCGTCGCTCTAGACTTGGGGATGATAATATTGAAATGATATTATTATTAAAATGCAACAAATTAAAATAAATATATTGCTTATATTTTTATAATCTAAACTAACTATATTTTTATATTTATAATTGTTGATTTTTATATATTATTTATTATACATTTACACTATATAAGCAAAAAAATAAATAAAAAAAATTTGTTTCATTTGTTTCTAAATTTTTTTTTATAAAAAGTAGCTAATAGCGCGCTACTTTTTTTGACAAATAGCGAAAGCGGTAGCGCGCTACTTTTAAAAATAGCGTTTAACAACTCTGGGTTTCACCGACAGGGATGGTGTCTACTCCCTAATGTTTTAAGGACCACTGCCTTCCCCAATATTCTAGATCACACCTTCTAGGATTTATAGACCAATATTTTAGCCTCAGATTCTAACCATATCCATAACAAAAAATTTAATTTATTATTTTAGTTATCAAAATTTCCTTTTTTTAATCATTGATAATCTTTAAAATGAAAAAAATTAAATTTTTTTATTCCCAAAAATACAAAATAAATGTAACATATTTATAAAATAGCGATATATTTTCTTCTATTATTATGATTAATTTTATAATAGGTTTATAAATTAATTATATAATCCATTAATTAGTTCTGAGCCATTCTTTTAGAAATATAATTTTAGTGATTTTTTTAAGAAATAGATTAGAAATCCTTTTAAATTGAAATCGTTTTAATTAAGAACTGCAATAATTAAAAAAAAAAATATTAGCATCAATGTGTTTTTTTTCTACTTATAATCATTTTTTAGAGCGTTTTTTAAAATTTACAAATCTGATTTTAACAGAAATGCATTCCAGCATGTTAAAAAACCCTCTGTGGTTTTTTCTAAGAATTTTACAACCTAAAATAATTTATATCTTAAAGTTAATAGTAAAATTAT